CTGCCAGAAATGACAGAATCCTTTTAACATAAACTGCATCTAGTACCATTCGCTCAACATGCGTTGAGACAATTATGAAAAGCGTCATACTTATTTAGTGACTAAAAAGCGGTTGCAAAATTAAATTAAAATTGTATCAAGTCAAGTTTCATATTCATATATATATCTCATAGTCATCAGACTTATATCCAAAACCTCTATGAGATGTTCATATACTTATCCTGATCTATTTTTAGCTGGCAACCATACACTTCCAAGTGCACACAGAAAACCGGTCATATTCGCCCATTCATGAAATATATCCTTAATATAAAAGTGACAGAATTGTAATTCAAGAGAAAGAAATTGTACGCAACTCACTTCCACTTCATATTCGGTACTATGTACACCTGTTCTTCGTTTTTCGAACTTATAGCCACCACTTTCACTACTACCGCTTGTTGCTCCTGTTAAATCTTCCACCCGTTTCGGATATACATTGAGAAATTTTGTGACATTTTGTTGTGACACATACGTATCGTACTATGCTTGTTTATTTCCATGGGAAGCATGTTCAATTTTTCTTAACAATGATAGAATTCTCTTTTGAAGTGCATTTCTTCTCCATGTGACTTTATCCGATGCATGAGACAGTTCCATGTATATGTTATAATTTGGCAATAGTTGAAGTACAGCCATTTCATCAAAACCAAAACGAATTTCTGCTTCTTCACAAAATAATGAAAAGCAAGACATAGCTGTTTTTATCGCATCAATATCCACAGACCAGAGATAAATAAAAAACACAATCTAAAACAAAAATATTGTATTAACCTAAAGGATAACTAATTATTTTGTTCAATTTACTTCTAGTTTCATATGTGCATGTTTAGCCATGGGTATATTTGAACCTAAATAAGCATTATCTTTATCATGTAACAAAAATGTATTTCTTAACATCAAAATTTCTCGTAACCATTTGAGGACCGATGGATAATTGTAAATTTGATGTAAAACTAATTTTTGTGAAATAGAGAAGAGTACTTGTGATGATATTGACCAAAATGTGTTGATACATGCTTCCGGATTCCACAATTCAATATTTTCTTTTTCATGTAAAACGAGCAATGATTCCATGGTCGTATGTGCAACATATGGCATCGATGAATCATAAACCAGTGATACAAGACCATTAATCAATTCAAATGTAGACATTTGTGTTTCATGATCGAGTTTATTTGGATTATGTAACATTAAATAAGGATCCACAATAATCAAACGATCAATCCAAAGTAATAATTCACGATTATTCGGTCCATCGGTTTCCGCTGACGATCACGATCTTTATCTCTATCAGATTTAACCAATTTAAAATTTGTATATTGTGAACGAAATTGTTGAGCTGAGAAAAAAACATCTGTTAATATTGATACACCCGAGATGCCTGATATACCTAGAGATAAAAATTAAAAAGGTAGAAATGATATTCATTTTTCTAACAGATTTTTGTGTTATAAAAGAAATGAATATAGGAAAATATATTTACGTACTGGCGTTGTTGAAAATGTTAATGATTGACTAACTTTATTTAACGTATCGGTAAACATATTTCTTAGTTCTCCTACTTTAGAATAGACAATATCAATTTATGGCCACCACAATAATCGCCGTTGTGTAATGATTCGATAAAGTGCTTTGACAAGAACATAATGAAACATTGACGGACTTTGTAAGTTTAAACACACTTTTAACACTTCATTATTATTTGGATTTAAACGAATACAAGCAAGGAAAAATTCAATCATCAATTCTAAATCTTGATTTATCTTGTCTGGTCCTCGCGAAAATGGACGTTGTGGATTGAATAATATTGACTGTACAAAAAAGAAAAAAATTGATAGAGATACACAATCTACTCAACTTTTCTAGTGTTTATTCTATTTACTTTTAAATCTCCGATAACGGATTGTACTGAAACGAATAGAACATTGTTACTATCTTTATTATTAGTGTATGTTGATGCTTTGCATAATTTAACAAATGTGATTACAGCTGCTGCTTCTCTGTGCTGTTTAACATTGGAGTGAAGTTGTCGTTTAAGATTATCGACAAAATTACGCTAAAATAGAGAAAGGCACATTAGTATTACTCTAAAATAATGTTGCCCTTTCTCTCTAACCTTTCTTAAATGTTCTTGTGAACATGGACAACCTTTTTCAATAGAGTAAACTAATTCTTCCAAAATGATGGGACATAAAACTAAGAGCATCATTTGCAAAGGACATATATATTGGACTTTACGTTTATTATTCTCTTGAAATATATCTAATAATTCAAATAATGTTTCACAATTATCTAAATACGAAAAGATGATTTCATGTAAAAACACACAAGTAAAACAAAAGTTTCAAATACATACCACTTAATTCTGCACTCGGACGTTTTTGTAAATCTGTAAACTCTTCGGGATATGTGTCTAACCAATTCCATATAGCCTTCAAAGACAATTCACTGCTCATAACTGAAAACTTAATTCATTTTTGTCATTTACTTTTTCCACACTTTTAACAAGTTCAATATGATGTATTTTCTTCAATAATCTCCATTTTTGTACTTCCTCTACAAATAAAATTTAATTCTAGTGCAGCAAATGTTCCTTTTTTTTCAAAACAAACCATTTAAAAGTCTTGTTAGTTTGCTCATATCAACCTTCATATGTTGGATTAAATCCAAATCACCAGCTTCACATGTTTCGTCACCAGATGCAATCAAACATTCTAGACTAGAAAAAAACAAAATAACAAACGATATAACAAAAGTAAATCAATAAATAAAACCGTGATTTGAGCGGAAGTGTTAATGAGAGCAAATAGCTGAATTATCAAAATACTATTGGTTTTTAACTTTTATTTTAGCAAAAATAGCACAACTAGTAAAATAAACAAGTGTTTCTCTTACCTGTTTTAAATCGCTAAAGAATAGAGAAGTCGATAAAGAATAAAATGAATTAAAAAAAACTAATTTGTTCCGATACGGTATTCCCTCATTTATCTTTTTTCTCATACCTGATATCAATCAGAGCTCTTCGTTTGGTGTACAGAAATAGAATAAAGCTTACCGTGAAACAACTTTTGAAAAGTGTACTAAAATTGTTGACACTTAGTACGAATAAAACATGAGATGCTAATTGTCGAACATGTTGTACCGTTACACCATCGTCAGCCACATTTAATAACTACGAATAGATAGAAGTGATCAGTTGTACAGTATCTTTACAAATAGTGATCCTACTTTGCAAACAACAGGCAATAATTTATTCACATAAATTGCTTCATCCAAACGACTTGTGCCCATATTCGAGGATTCCAGGATTCGCAGGATCCCAGGATTCGCGGGATTCGAGGATTTCAGGATTCGGGGAGTCGAGGAGCTGGCAATGAACATTTAGGGCCTTACTGGTAAATTCTATAACCTTGCAAAGAAGGGTCATGTAGAGCGATAAAATAAACGACGAAAATTAAAACGTCAACTAAAATTAATAACAGAAACAATTTATTATTGCTGTCAACAACCACTTCAATTATCATCGTACAAATATTTAAAACGTTTACAAAAATTATATGTTAGTCAACGTTTAAATGACGTCGTAGTTATTGATTGTTCAGTTCAAAATGAACATCTTGAAAATGGAAATTATTTACAAAATTTAATTCGAAAAGTTCACTCTTGTTTTACCTACTTGTACAAATATCGTACGCCGTCGTTCGTCTATTTATGTAATGTAAATAATAACAATAATCGATTAAATAGTCTCTATTTTCATTCAACATCTTAATCATATTTAGATTTATTTTCTTGAGAACAATTAATTTATTTGACACCACATTCCGATAATATTATGAAAGAATATGATCATAATGCTCTTTATATTCTTGGTGGAATTTATAGTCAAAGTAGGTAAGTAAAATTATTGTATACCCTAAAACGTATATTTTATTGTTTTTTCTTTTAAAGCAAAGAATGAAATGTTAACAATTCAAAAAGTAAAATGTGAAAATATTCGACATCAATGTTTACCATTAGATCGATATTTAAGGTAAATAGAGACATTGATGACTTTCTATATAGTTTTTGTTGATTAGTATGGATTATTTGTAGATTTATAACTTCATCGTGGATGTGAAAAGGTTGAAGGTTTATACGGGATTTCGGTTCGACAAGCTTCACAAAAAAGGTCATCTCTGCAGGAAAACGGTGAAAAATGAGCCTTTTTGCTAAAAAATAAAATGCGTATAACTTTTCTCTGCACTCAGCTGGAGAGCTGCGGTTTTCGCCGTTGGAATCGGTCTCAAAAACTGCATCTGGAGAGGTATATCTCGTCACTGACGCACAAACTTTGGGATAACGTGGTAGGTTCTATGTGGAGTTATCCACTAGCAGATTATAAAAATTGTTTTATTTTAATAATTCACTAAGTCAAAGACCTTTTATAAGATTTTGAAATTATTTTTAAAAGTTAAAATTTAACTTTTTAAAACGTGGTTGTTTCAAAATTTTATTTACCAATTTAGGTAACATGATAACTATAGTTATTTGTACCAAATAAGAGAAAAAATGGTTTATGTTTAGTGTAAAAATCTTACATGATTTAAAAGTGGTCAAATTTTGCATTAGTCCGACTGAGAAGTGTAAAAGAGTCATGATATGTGCCATCTTATCACAAAAATATTGGAAAAAAGCTGAAAGGATCCAGTAAAAATTGTAGAATGGATACCAAAATTTCGATACAAATACTAGAAATGATCCCGGATTTAGAAAAAAATATTTTCGACAGAATTGATCCCGGTTGTCGTGTTTAGTGGTCACATAAGATCCCCTTTCCCAAAGCTCTTCGCTGACTTCTATATACATTTTTAACACTCTTATGTTTTATTACAAATAAATGCAGTCAGTCGTTGGTTGTGAGAATGAGAATTTGTAAAATGAGAATGAGAAGTGTAAAAGAGTCATGATATGTATCACAAAATTATTGTGATAGACCTTGATGGATTTTTATCGGATATTATCGTGATAGACAAATCATTTTGATAAGATTGACAAATTATAGTAATCAAATTTTTATCTCGATGAACGACAAGGATAATTCGCCTGTATGTTATCTTCACATAGAACACTGTAACGATAAGACGATTATCGGAAATAACTGATTTATCTCAATAATCCTCAAATAAAAATCGAAAGTTTTTACATTTTAATTTCACCGCCTAGGATAAAATCAGAGTGATGAAATGTGTAAAAATTTTGTAACACGCAGTAGAATTCAGTCGTTGTGATTTCGCCTTATCGCAATCACACATTGTTTACAGTGCCACATGAAGTCAATGCTAAATTCGATGGTTTTTTATCGTCTTCTTTGAAAATTGCTTCCTTTGGTTTTAATCATTTTAATATTAGACTGAGGAATAAACTTCAGAATTGTCTATCTATGCACTTTTATTTTACTCGATATAAAAAATGCATAAGTTCGAAAAAACACACTTATCGTGAAATTAAGTCTTCTATTTTTTCTTCAATTCGACTTTTGATCTAGTTTTTTTCTTCGCTGATGAAACAGGTATGTGCCAAGCAACATTAATATTGTTGAAAATAGGACGACAGCTGAATAAATAGTGATTACGCCATCAATTAGTGTAACCTGAATTTCGGATGATAAAAAGAGTGTAAATACACCCGATATAGAAACAAATACACCACCAATTACTAACAACGACGGGCCACCTCAAATGTAAAATGTGACGCAGTTATTAACGACTGCGAGTGCGTTAAACAATATTTGACAGACGATGTACTCTGTTGTTTTCACTTGAACATAGTCGAACAACGAAGACGCTTGTTTTATTACTGGATATTTGTTGATACATGACGTACAAACATCATCATTTAATATTTTGGGAATCTGTGATTGATATGCATCTAGTGTGGCTAACAATATGTGTTGTCTTCCTTGGAAAAACGTAGCTGTTGCCATTATGACGGAAGTGAATAACAAGACATGATATAGAACAAAACACAGTGGGCATTTAGGCGGCGTTTTCTGAAAAAATCGTAGGTGCGAATTTTTTTGTTTTGAATAGTGGTGTATATAGTATAAACAATTCCCTATTTAATGATAAAATTTTTTGTTCTAGCTCCTTCCAAAGCTGAGAAAACTGAATTACAAAATTACCATTAGAATTAGCCCGTTGGTACTTAAAATTGCATTTTCTCCATCAAAGGCTAAATTTTTTCCGAACAAA